TAAAAATACAGCACTTTAAGTCACAAACGTTTGATCAATAAAAAAGTTATGCCACGCTTTTATCATGGCTTTTCGAGGCAGTGAACTCAAGCATTAATTTGTGATTTGTAATTTATTTATCAGATATTGGTGTTGCTGTGCTTGTTAGCGAGACCAATGCATGTCAGAGAGCTTTTATTTCAGGTAGAGCGCTGTCTTTTGTTTATGTTTATGCGTTTCTTGATTTGAAGTACATTTAGAACAGATTATGGATTTTCTTAAACAGTAGTTTATTCATTTCTCCGTCTATCAGGAATATTATATCATTCTCTGATTTTCCTATTCAAAAAGTCTTTTTATTTTAGTAATTTTCACGTCAAGAGGATTATGATTGTAGATAACATTCCTTGTGTATTAATTGATATCAATGACTGATTCAACTAATTATTTCATTTGTTTGTTCTAGATTTTTCGTTTTCTTGGATAATGACTATCGTTAACGATGAAAAGGCAATCACTGATTATACTATAGAAAGTATGCATGTTATTTTTTTCGAATATGGGACAAAATGAGAGATGCTTATTTTCATAAGATAATGCGATAAATCTGAAAAAATAGTCAAAATGTAAAAGAATATCCACAAAAATCTAATGTTCCTGTCGCAAATGTCTTTTATGCTTTTTTCGACAACGGCCTCGACTTATTAGCTAAACAAATATCATAAAAAAACATATTACTCTCTGATCAAATATGTCAATAAAAATTACTAATTCGATCTTTTGAGTTCAATTTGAATAATTCGTTTAATGTCAAATTTCAACTATTTATACGATAGTGCGTCATGTATAAAAATAGTGTTTCAACGTATGTCTTTAAAATTAGTATTAATAAAGTAGATGATATGACCACTTTTTACAATTATTTATATTAGATGATAGAATTGCAGAAATCTTAAATGGTTGAGGAATATTCAGATCAGAGGTGGGCAAATCCAGGATTGGACTTGAAGGTTTCTTTGGTAACGTTTGGACATCCTCACCTCTGATTTGGATATACTTCTCTAAGGATCTGCTTGTCTTATGTGTTTGACTCAAACGTTGAATGTCGAATATATGATGAAGCAATATGTGATGCATGTAATGAATTAAATGTGAAAAAACGACGTACATCGTACAAACAAGTCAAAATGATCACCTAATATATATAGCTCATCTCTACCAAAACCTTTGATATTCAACTTGAGGCACTATTTCATGTGATAAAATATTACTTTCCATGCATGCCGTGAACTATCTTCAAAAAAAGTTTTTTCATATTCTACGCGTGAAAGTTAGCAGTATCCACGACTTATACCTACTGCCTAAAATGTCCATTTTGAAATTCACAGTTGTTCACACGTGGATAAAAATGTGTACACATTTTGTGTACGAATGAATAAATAAAAAAACAATTCTATGTGTCATTGTTCGTTGAAAAAAATTTTTATTCTTGCGTGATTTACTATAAACTCTTATTTCTTCTACTCCCATGTGAGCACCAGTAGACAAATTTTTATCTAAAAGTGCTCATTCTCTAAAATGTTCGTTCCGTAATTTAGTCCTAAATATAACGTTGGACGACAAAAAAAAGAAATTTGTTCACAGAAGATATTTGTGAAAGTACAATTTTTATATTATAAGTTAATAAATGTTCAGAAAATATGTCAATGTATACGATAATCAATACAGAAAAAGTTACATTCAAAATTATCCAAAAAAATAGTCTAATAAATTAACAAGATTAGTTCGCATTTTCGAAGAAACAATAACTAATCATCAAAATATTATCTCAATAGGCAATTCGTTCTAATTTATAGATGCTTTTTATCTCATTTATATCAGACACTAATTCGTGTTCGTCTTGTGTAGAAAAATAAATTGTCTTTTAATAGAATGATGACCCCTGAATTTTTATTCTCATATGTATTTTACTTTTTGTTTTTACTGATTATTTTCTTTTCGAAAGAAAGACGGTAGTCGTCAAAACCGTTTACTCTTCTATTTAGTTTATATTATTTGCCAATAGAATATTTTTGATAATAGTTCTTGTGAGTGTTTTTTTTTATCTTTGAGAGAGACGTTCAGTATTAATTGCATAGAACATATATTTAAAATACTATTTTTAGATGACATGACATTTTTATATAGAATAATAAATTTTAGTACAAACTCTTTCTTTACTGTTACTCATTTAAATTATAGTTTCTGCTAATTGTACATCGTTAAATAAATCTCGAAATGACACAAAATAATCACCTTCTCTTCAATTAATTATCATATGTATTCTATGTAGAAGGTATATTTATTATTCTATTCAGAAAAAAAAGACAATCTCAAAGATACTTTCGTTTACTTCTATGTAATTGTAATCCGTTCTACTTGTGAGAAACAAACTAAATCTTTTGAGGATATATTCTGCGTGCTTTATACTTTTAATATTATAATTTTGATAAATATTTTGTTATATAAATTATACACGTTTGCATGTCTAACATAGAAAAATATTTTATTTTGAAAAAATTTATATATACAGTATTTTGTTATTCTATTCAAATATTTATTTTGAACATTTGACATTTTTGTTGTGTTTTTGATTTTATACGTGTAATAATTCCATGACGATAACGAAAAAAAAGAGAAGAGAACTTTTTACTTTATTGTATATAAAGAAGAGAAAATAATGAGTTGATTATTCATCCATCATCAATAAGAGGAGAAAAAAAAATCATGTTTGTTTTTTTACAATGATATAAATCATTTTATCGAAGAGATAAACAGAAACCAGACTACTATCGAATCAAACAAATATTATTTCAGAGAAATACAGAACGGTTTTCCATGTACACAAAACAGTCAGGTAACGATGTGTACAGGTTTAAAAATTCTTTAGTATAATAAAATTGAGCTAAGCCTACAAAATGAATTGAAGATGGACAGAAATAATTATTTTTCAATTACATTAGAGTAGAAAATATTGGTAACTATTTTGAAAAGGCTTCATTGACATTTTAGATTGATAAACATTTGGCTCTAATCATCATGTATTCTTCAATGTTTCTGAATCGATTTTACTGGAAGCCAGACAACATTATTTTCGAGTGTTCTCTCATAAATTTACAAGAATTTTTTATCACATGTAAACAATCCGATAAACTGTTAAAACAAACAGAATGATTTTCTAAACAATAGATAGAATTCAAGCCGATCAATATTACTAAAAAAAAAAACGGGTAATTAAATTATCCATTTGTTATACCTAATATTTTTCATTCATCCATGAACTTGTTACACACAGTTTTTTTTTTTGTCTAAAACCACATTAAATGACTTTTTCTTTCGATTATTTATTGTGTTTGTATACTCTGAAAAGAGTTATTGTCGTTTTTTTTTTTCTGTAATCATACACGAGAAAAGAAACAGAAAGAAGAAAAACAAAACAAAAAAAACTTCTCAAAAGAGCCTAATAATGCAAATAATATAATGAGAATATGTTTACTATTCGAATTGATGTATTGATAATGGAGCGCAGGTTAATATGTGTAAGATGTTATGTGAGTAAAGTTGTAGTTAGAGATAGAAATTATTATTATTTTCGTAAAAGAAGAAGCAAAAAAAGATGATTGGCTAATTGTTTAATAAATAAATTTTTTAATCTAATAAAAATGTCAAAAATGAAATATGATCGATCCATTTTATGTTATATATACCTTTAATAATTGTTAAATTTGATGTTGATCTCCATATGTTTTTGATTTAGAATTTTGCTGTGAGTTTACATTTTTGAATATGACTCTATTTAATCGTTTTGCTAAATCATTGATGCGTAGCTTTCGATTGTCTTTCAGTCTTATCTTATGTTTCTAACAAAACGATTCTAATGAGCGTAAGGTCAACTGAATTTGACATAAAAATTATATTTTTCTTTTCTTTTCTTTTCTTTATATCAGTCTTGATCCCCTACCCAGAAACAGACAGAAAGAATCAATTGAATGTTAATTTAGAGCAAATGTTGACACATCACTCTTTTGTTTCATATAAGATTTTTTAAAATATTTGTCAAATTTTAATATTTTAATCATACACTAAACTCAATTTTTTTCCCTTCTCTATTTCGAATAGTTAATCATCTTCCCTTATCTAAAAGAATAACCGTTGTGAGTAGTATTAGTAGAACGACAATAGCACAATGATTAATAAGAAGAGTTTGTGTATAATGTATCAGTACTAGAAAATTGCCATATATATTTTGCTATTCTAGAATATATGTCTAGAGTTTTTTTTTATAGTTATTCTGACACATCATATGATATACATTAAATGTAGAAATGATGCTATTTTCTTTCTAGCTTGCTTTAATTACAAATATCTTTCATGGAAAAAAGTCTGACAGTACATCCGACAGATCTTCTAACCGTTACGATGAAAAAACAGAAATGATGTATTCTTTTATTTTCAAAACAAATGATCTCTAACGGCTAAAGAATACAAAAGCGATTGTTTATAGAAAGAGATATATTAAAAATAATTGAAAAATATAGCTTTGAAACATAAAAATCTCTAGTGTAATTAGCAAAAATCTAGTTCATGAACTCTCAAAAGTTTTTAGTTGATGAAGAAAATAGGACTTATTTTGTTTTATAACCTTCTCTTGTTTGATTTATTACTTTTCACATTTACGTGTGAGAATATACTTGAAATGTCCACGAGAAATACTTCTGTATAAATAAATGATATACAAATTATCGATAATGGACAATATAGGTAATTTTAGCCTATGCAATCTTCTATTTAGTTTTATGAGAAATGTGCAAGAATAACATCATTCACTTATTATCATTGTTAGTTTGCTAAACAAAAAATTCAATGAGAAATAATCAAATAGAAAAAGTGTTTAGTATTGAGAAAGAGAAATACAAAATTATTAAAATGTAATCTGTTGTTGTTTTTTTGTTCTAGATAATTATTTATACACAGTTAAAACAATGTCTTCTCGTTCGCCGTCTATCGATTCTAATCCACCTCTTAACAATCAAAAAATTTCTACAACTTCTTCTCCATCATCACCAACAACAACTACGGAATCATCGTTTATAAATGATTTTTTTCAACGAAGCTTAACATTACCACAAACAAAAGTTGGCCTAGGATCAACTGAAGGCGATTTATTTGTACTTGTTAAACGATATTTAGAAATTGTTGGCCTCGTTTTTTTCGTTTGGTTATTAGGTGAGTTCTTTAAGAAAAGATTTAGCTATAACTATTAACCTAATTGAAAATGTAAATTGTTGTTATTATTTTTTTCGTTTAGGTTATTTTCATTTTAGTGTCTCGTGGATATTACTTATTGTTTTAATTTATTTATTACGTCAAAGACAACGAAATTTATTTAAACAAAGTCAAAAAATGTTACAAACCATAAATAGTGATGAAAATGAAAAAAATTATATTCGAGCAAGTTTAGATGATTTACCATCATGGGTAAAAGAACGAATTTCATTATAAATAATTCATTTAGTTATATTTATTTTTTATTTTTAGGTATTTTTTCCAGATGTTGAACGGGCCGAATGGGTTAATAAAATAATTAAACAAGCATGGCCCTATTGTAAACAATTTTTAAGAACACAAATATTTGATCAAGTTGTGATACCGTTAGTAAGAGGTGCTAGTCCAGCATTAAATGATTTTGAATTTCATGAATTGGATTTAGGAGATAATGTAAATATATATATTAAATATGATTCTTCTATTACTTAATTAAATTTATTTTTATATCATTTTAGCCTCCTCGTTTAGGTGGCATCAAAGTGTATACAGATAATATAAGAGATCAAATTATGATGGATATGGAAGTATTGTATGTGTTAGAATAAAATTATAGTATGATTAAATCTAACTAATATTAGAAATGTTCATAATTAGATATGCTGGTGATGCGGTGATTAAAGCAAAAATGAAACAAATTGTTTGCGGTGTTAAAAATATTCAGGTTTGTTTTGAATTAACAATTGACTATTTTTACTGGAAAAGAATGATTTTTTGACGTCGTTTGAACTTTTAGATTGTTATATGTAGATAAAATAGAAATTTGTTTATTTTAAAAGTAGGACATAATCGCATATAGTGTCCGTACAAAGTATCATCTAAGTGCTCAGTGACTGTTTGAAGTTACGTAAGGATAAAAGCGTTATCTGTTTTTTTAGTTGACACCTCGTCACTTGATAACGGTAACTGGTAACCGTTACGTTTCTAATAGAGGTACGATTAATTTTTGTTTTTCAAATGTCGAATCGAAGTCCGAAATCTTTTTTAAAGTTGAAAGGTGTGAAAAAAATATCACGCAGATGAACACAAATCTGGTTTCTATCAGATAACAGCGTTTGATACTGAAGCACATTGATTTTTGATTGACACTAACCTAATCGTAATATAAACATAACATAAGTCTATGTTTATATGAGAATACAAACACTGAAGACAAAAAAGAGATATCCATTCGTTTTACATTAATCACAAAAGACTTGTTTGTATTTTTTATCCAAATGTTTGAATGCAATACTGAAAGCATATATTATATATTGAAAATACAGAGATAGAGTGATAACCATAGATTCATGATATTGTCAAACCAAAAATAATACATATTTTCAAAACCTTTCATGTTTACAAAGCCTTTGAAAAGAGTCTTTCAAATCGAGACAATCTCGCCTCTAGTAGAGTCTCTAAATTGAACTGAAAGCAGTAATTTAATTATAAATCCTTTTTATTTCAGTTTTGTGGTGATTTACGTGTCATTTTCAGTCCACTTATTCACGAAATTCCATTAGTTGGAGCAGTGACATACTTCTTTTTAAGAACACCAGTAGGTATTTTTTTTGTTATAGTGATTAGATGTTTACTATTATTATTTTCTTATTTTTCTTTGCAGAGTATCCATTTTAAATTGACTGATGCTGGTTCATTAGTAGATTTACCTGGATTAAAGTAAATTATTGTTCCTACTTTTTGCTTAAATGAAAAATAATTGGCAATATACTCTGTAATTACATTCAAATCTACTATTAGTTATTCTAATTGTAAAGATGTGGCGTAGACTTTCGTTAACCATTGAATAATTTATCCATTCTTCCTTATTTATTGCATTAATTACATCATATGTTTGAATATTTCATTCTTTAAATCAGAGTTTTGTTTTATTTTTCGTAAAGAACTATAAGGTTTTTATTTGTATTATTTTCAAGATCTTAACTTTTTACTATTCATTTTAAAGAGATTTTTCGTTCTATTCTATGCTATATCTCATTTATTTTTCATTCATTTTAGTGATACAATGTTAGCTGTGATAAATGATATTGTTCGAAGTATGATGGTGCTACCAAATCGTCAAGTATTTCCACTCGTTACACATATCTCAGTAGGACATCTAACATCATCAAATCCACAGGTATTTTAGAAGAATTATTCTTTTTTATCTATTTAAAAAACTCTCGATTATATTTTTTCTTTTAGGGTGTTGTTCGTGTGTATATACTCAAAGCTCGAGATCTTATTAAAGCTGATATCAATTTTATGGGAAGGGGAAAATCAGATCCATTCGTTAAAGTAACAGGTAGGAATAATTTAGAGAGAAAAATGACACTTCAGATATCTACACTTTTTAAGTAATTAATTCTTAGCTGGTGGTAATTTTGAATACAAAACAAAGACAATAAATAATACAACAGATCCAGAATGGAATGAAGTAGGTAGATGGTCTAGAAATATCTTTTTTAAATTAATTAATTTGTTTGTTTTCTTGAGTAGGTGTGTGAATTTCCTGTAGAGCAAACTGAAAGTGATCATATTCGATTTGATGTGTTTGATGAAGATCCTGGAAAAAATGATTTCATCGGAATGTAAGTGGAAATCGTGCCACACTGGTCGATCTCTCATACAAATAATTGAGTCACACTTTTAAGCCAATATGACAGTACCAGTGAAAGAGTTAAGAACTTTTTGAGTTCTAGTCAGGGAACTATTTACTCGCATGATTTGTAATCAATATTTCATAAACAATACGACTTATCGTCCTTCTTTTATTTTTAGTGCTAATTTTCCTGTAAAATCTGTTGTTGAACAAGGAACCGTGGAAACTGTACGTGAAACTATATATTTTATTTTCCTCTAAAATTTAATTATATTTTTATTTTTAGTGGTTAACATTGAAAGAAGTGAAAAAAGGCAGTATTTTTGTTCGATTTCAATATTTTTCTTTAACAACATCAAAAGCAGCATTAGAAAAAGTATGTGAAAATAATATATTTATTTTCTGACCGACTATTTTTTATGTTTTTAGATGGATGATTTTAATCGTAATCAGTTAAAAGAAGAAAAATTATCAAAAGCATTATTAGTACTTTATATTGATGGTTGTTCAAATTTACCTGTAAGAATTTCTATTTTTCTTAGAAAATAATTTTATTTACTTTTTTTTGATCATTTAGTCATCAAAAAAACATCGTCATAGTCAAGAACCAAATCCATGGTAAGAAAGAGAAAGTCAAATATGAAATATTCTATTTTAAATTATAATTAATTACTTTTAATATTTAGGTGTGAAATTATTGTAGATAATTTCAAAGATAAAACTATAACATTAGAACGTTCAACAAATCCAAAATTTAATCATATATCACAAATATTGTTAACAGAACCTAGTCATCAATTACTACAAATTAATGTTCGAGATGCTAAAAATAATAATGATATATTGGCCTATGTTCAATTTTCAATTAAACAATTATATGATCAAGATACCATGTGTGAAACAAGAGCATTTCCATTAAAATCACATACAGGACCAATTGAATATTGTACAGTTACATTAAGATTATGTCTATTTGTAAGCAAATATTATATCAGCTTTTATAATGAATCTTTAATACAAAAATATATCTTACTTTGTTTACATTCTGAAATTTTATAATGGATGATTAATTTTATTATTTTAATTTTAGATTTTAGCTCCTGGTCAGACAAATGAACGTATAAGTCCACCACATTCTACACCATCTGGTAGTCAAAAATCACTTTCCGTTTCTCCTACCGATTCAACTCATCAATCAATTTTAACGGCTGGTATTGTTCAAAAAAATATAAACACTGATAGAACAATTCCATCTCAAAAACCATCGGAACTAGTATCATCATCAACACAAGACAGTGATCTACAGCAACAACCAATCTCACCACGATCGCTTGTTGATGGACTAAAATATAAGCTTCAAGTAAAAAGATTTTGTAATAGGTATTTTTTATTCTATCTAATTTTTCTTATTTATAAAATTTAGGCTCCCGAACTTTATCAAAAAGAAAGTTCAAATTCAGATTTAAGTTCTTTAATGACGAACAAAACGTCTATAAAACTGTTATCATCCGATGATGATCCTGAGTACGTACTAAAATTGCAAAAGAGCAAAGCTTCTGTGAAAATATGTTTTCTTTCAAAAAAAATTGATATAGAGAAAATTCTACAAATATTGTTTATTCATCTTTTTCAATCTTCTATAGTCGTCAAATTTATTTTATTCTAGAGAACAACCTTACGGGAAAATTCGTTTAGCGATACGATATACATTACAACGACGTTGTTTAACTGTTGTTGTATTCGAATGCAAGTTCGTATATTTCAAAATTTCTTGAAGAAAAAAACAAAAATGAGAATTTTTAACTTTATTCTATGTAATTTTAGAAATTTAATTGGTGTTCATGATCAAAATCTACCGGATCCATATGTTCGACTCTTCTTAGTACCCGATCATAAAAAAGAGAAGAAAAAAACAAAATCTGTACGTGATAATCTCAATCCCTCATATGAAGAATCGTAAGTAAAATTTAGATAAAACTCTTCTACAAATATCTTTACTCAATTTTTCTTGTGAACTTTTTTCTTTTTAGATTTGAATGGAATGGTTCATTAAATGAAATTCAAACACAAAAATTACAAATTAGTATTAAGAATAATTCCCCACTATTTGCCAAAGAAGAAACGTATATGGGAGAACTTCAAATTGATTTATCAAATCTTGATCCTCAACGTATATCTCATGCCTGGTATTCATTACAAGAGCCTAAAACATCGGCAGCCGCTCCTATTACTTTAAAATATCAGTTATCTACACAAAATAATGATTTAATTGATTCAAATAGTTTTTCATGACTTTATACTACGCTTCTTTCTTCTTTTTTTTTTATACATGTGTGTGTGTATATGTTTTGTTTGCTGTGATTTGATTTATAAACTTTTTCTGTGCTTTTATTACTTTGTTCTTTTTAGAATTATTTCTAAAGATTTTTTTTCTTTTGTCTCTAAAAAAACTTCCTTTTTTTTTCTCGTATTTATTTTTGTTTACACTGATAAAAATGATGCTTCTTTATTTTATTCTTGTGTGTGTGTATGATAATAATCGTTTATATGAAATACTACAGAGAGATAAGCTGTTTTTGTTTTGTGTCTACTTGCAATATGACAAAAAGGTCAATTTCATTTCTAGATTTATGATATAGTGAAAATTCTATATATATATATAGTATAGAATAGTACAAAATCAGTGATTAAGACAATTAATAGGCACTTTGTGAATGTATGTTATGTAATGATTTTATATTTTTGATCATTCTCTAGCTTTATTTATCTAGATTTTACATATCATTTTTTGGTTAGAAAAATGTGATCAGTTTAACAAGCGTTCATTTTCAATAGTTATACTTATTTGATGCAGGACAAAGGCATGTCTGTTACTAATAAAATCATTTTTCTTTATTTATCTAAAAACTATTTGAAGTATTTTATAATGGAATGTTACTACAAGAAAAAAAGTTGAAAAGACGCTATATCGTCGTAAATACATACTAAAAGCGAATAAAAAGGCAGTTCAACTATAAAATTAATATAAATCAATAGAGCGATTATTCCTAATTCGAATCACTTTTTGACTAGTGAGAAGTTTTCAATTCTTGCTCAGAAATTTCTTGGACAACGTACATTATTTTTTCTACAAAGTGTAAAATCATCTCGCGAGTTCAATGGTGTAAAAATTTTCTAATTATCATCAAAATTAAGTGAGTTCTAATCGGTAGTTTGATGATGAGTCGTCTGGTTCGAATTGGGAGCACTGTTCCTAATTCGAACCAGCCAGCGCAAAACAAGCAAAAGACGCCAAAATTTCAGAAAACTGCTTGTTTCTGCTATCCGAATGTCAGATTTTCAATATATTCTTGTAACGAACAATGTTCGCCACATCAAACCGAGTATAATCACAGCGGTTCAGCCATTAAATTCATTTCTATGCAGAGATATTAAATTATCTTTAGACATGTCTCTGGTTCGAATTAGGAACACTGTTTCTAATTCGAACCACAAGCAATTTTTTGTTCCTAATTCGAACCACTACGCGCAAAATGGCTAGAAAAATAAGTTCTAGTCAGAAAACAGAGTCTTCTTGCTACCCGAAGTTCGGAATCGATTTTCGGAATAATTTAATATCTCTGCATAGAAATGAATTTAATGG